ACAGAAAAGTGGGTGAAGGGAGACGTTGGACAGGGCAAGATATGACAAAATAAAAATTTATAAATTATCAAGGGTTCGTGAGGGAGTGGGGAGCGGGGAGGGAGGGGAATAAATGAGGACCTGGTGCCGGGGGCTTAAGTGGAGAGCAAATGTTTTGAGAATGATGAGGGCAATGAATGTACAAATGTGCTCTACACAATTGATGTATGTATGGGTTATGATAAGAGCTGTATGAGCCCCTAATAAAATGATTAATAAAGAAAGAAGTCAGAGAGGAGTCCCTAAAGCAGGAAAAAGAACTACCCCATGAGATTGCCGGGGGAGTTAGAACGTGAAATATTAAAAGCCTGGCATTAAGCTTCAAATGTCATTGCAAGTTTGAGGATAATTAACTCAGAAGAGGCAGAACATGTTTTTGGAAAAGTCATCCTATAATATAAAAGGGACACTGGGGTAGAGGGGTTCAAAGGTGGGAGAATCCAAATTCAGGTGTGTGCACAACAAAAGAGAGGTACTGTCATTCAGCCCCTTTACTGAGATTAACAAAGATGGTGGACATAGCACCCAGTCACACACCCTGAATATTTTTTAATCCTGGAGATCCCAAGGTGTGTCTGTCATAATTTAGAATTTTTCACCCAATTTCCTTAGGAATGTAAGAGTCAGTCCTGATTATCACCAGGACAAGAGCTCCTTCTCCTTGCTGAGCTGGCAGTTTCCTATTACCTTGGGCAGGAGATGTTGGTTAGTCATCACATGACTAAGGGAAATAGGGAATTCCAGGCCAGGAGATGGCATAAACAACAAATGGAATAGGCAGTTCTTGAGTTTGCATTTACATCCTGTACAAAGCATAGTCCTGACTGGCAGATGCATTAAACACATTGAGTGAGTGAGTGAGTGAGTGAGTTGAGTGAGTGAGTGAATGAGTGAAGTTTGGGGGAAAAAGTTTTTCACATGTACATGAATGAATAGAAATAAAATGTTTTTTAAGTGTGTATGTTTAGAGCTCCTGCTTAATGAGAACTCTTAGCAAAGGGAAATCCTTACAACAAGGCATCAGTGCCTGTTCCAGAGCCTTCTGTATCTGTTAGCCTAAGATATGCTAAGATTTTTTTAAAAACAACTCCTTGACCTCACTTTATCTCTACCTCATGCCTCTTTTTTAATTGATCTTCTCAATTACAGAAAGTCTACTATCCTACACCTTTCTTAGCTGGTTGTAATTCTTATCCCATCCACCCATAAAACCACACACACCAAGCTGTCTTTGTTAGGTTTCCCAAAATCCTAGCTAACTGATGATCTCCTTATCCAAAATCAGCATTTATGTTAATGGTTAAAGATCTATTATTTTGCACACTAATGATGTACATCTGGGACTGACAAAACCCACAAGTGTGAGGAGAGAGTAACATTGGCCATGATGGCTAAGGTTATGTGTCAACTTGGGTGGGACATGATCCTCAGAAGTTTGGTAATTTTGTCATCATGTACTTTTGGTGATGTAATTACACCATTGTGTAATGATGCTGTCATCCCCCAATTTGTGATCTGATGTAGTCATCATCCTCTATTTTTCCATCATTTTGTTTTCACATGATGACCTGGTCTTTGGAATCTATCCATGTTGATAAATAAGTAGTAGGTCTACTCTGGTTTTAAAATATTTAGAAAAAATTATTTCTCCATTCAGTGAGTGAATGTACTTGCAAGATAACTCTGTTAAACTAGTAATCACTATTAAAG